TGTGTACTTTGTCATTTCTATCAGGCATCAGTGTGCATATCAATGCTCAGCAACACCAACAAGCCTAAAAGACCAGAGTACAACAATTTGTTGTACATGTACAGAAACAATAAATTTCCATTCTACTCTGCTCTAAGTGGATGATTGCAAATTCTTTCCTTTATTAAGAAAAACATCTTCAGTTTATCTCTGAATGCTGCCTGGCTGGTGGATAACTAACCAGCCAGCTCTAGTTCTTTTGAAGCCTTATTACATCTCTACATGCTTATTAGTTCAAACTGCTTTTCAGGAAGTCACTTCTTTTGCATGTGTGCACCACTGCTAAAAATGATCTTGTCAACCCAGCCTAACACCCAATAATCTGACCACATCCAGTTTCACATCAGTTTTTTGTAAGTCTTTCTGTGTGTGTGCATGTGTGTGCATGTGTGTGCGTGTGTGTGTGTTAAATGGCATATCTAAGAGAAGGAAATTTAATCAAATGCAGCTCTTTATGGTTTCATCAAGATTTTTTTTTTAAAAAGGTCCAATATAAATTATTCTGTTGAACACTGTTAAACATGAAGTAAAAGGATGATGACATATTTTTAAGTTTCTGTCATAATATTCAGGGAAAAACGGACACAAATATAGACTGCAGAGGTAAGAAGAATGCACAGGAACACAGTATGACCCAATTAAAAAAACACGAGTAAACTGAGGCTTGGAGTACACACAGGAGGTGAGGAGGAGCAGTAGAAACAAGAGAATAACTGTGAGGAAGTAAAACTCAACTAAGTATAACAAAACTTCCTGTTTTATTTTGTGAGACAGGGTACTCGGGGGGGGAAAAAACAGGAAGCAACAGAAAAACACTGAACATGGAGACAAAGACTGAATAAATAAACCAAATGCAAGATACACTCAAGAACTAAACTCAATTAGCTACAAAAAGCCAGACAGATTTACATATTGAATCATTAAACCAGTTAAAGATCATTAAACCAGTTAAAGATTTACATATTGAATCATTAAACCAGAAAGAAATGACTGTACTTAGAAGTAATACACCGCTACAACAAAACCCACAAAACTCAACAAGCCACCAGAGCTTCATTGTGTTTAATATGCCAAAAGTAGACAGTTAACATGTCCCTGGAATTATAAACACATTTGTGATTCACGAACAACCTTAATTTCATTTAAGTTCCTTTATGTTACAACAGCTAAAAGGTTCCCTTGCTCTTGCAATGCTTGGCCATGGCTCACATGCACCACAGCTCAGGACCTATCTTATTGGCCAACCTTAGCCAATCTTAACTCAGATTGAAAAACTTCTTCAGAAAATTTCCTCAGATTAAATCCAATTCTCTTTGGTGGACTTTGACTAGGCCACTCCAAAGTCCTTTTTGTTTCTCTTAAGCCATTAAGACGTCAACTTGTTGGCGTGTTTTGAATCATTGTCTTGCTGCAGAACCCAAATCTGCTTCAGCTTGAGGTCCAAAACAGATAACCAGACATTCTTTTTCAAGAAATTTAGTTCATTTACCACAGCAAGTCTTTCAGGTCAGTTTAACACACAGGGCAATATAGGTTTGGATTTTTTCCCTTTAATAATAAACACCTTAATTTATAAACTGCAATTTGTGTTTATATGTGTTATCTTTGTCTAATATTTAAATTTGTTTGATGATCTGAAACATTTAAGTGTGGCAAACATACAAAAACAGGAAATCAAGAAAGGGGTGAACACTTTTTCACACAACTGTATATATAATAATAATAATGGATACTTTATTGATCCCCATGGGGAAATTACTTGTTTTTCTCTGCATTTGACCCATTCACTCAGTGAAGCAGTGGGCAGCCCACTAAGCAGGCGCCCGGGGAGCAGTGTGTAGGGACGGTACCTTGCTCAGGGGTACCTCAGGGTAGCCGTTAGGTGGATTCGAACCGCCGACCTTCCGATCATGGGGTGACCACTTTACCTACTGAGCTATCCCTGCCCAATATGCAGACTATTTCACCTTATGCAGGCATGTGAGTAAAACCAGAAAAGCAAACTCTCCACCAATGATTTCCTTGGTGAAATTTGGTTCAGGCTACACTTCTCCCTCTGTCTAAAAATGAAAGTTGAAAAGGAAGAAATTCAGTGTTTTCAGCACCTTGTCGAATCTGTGACATGAAGAAATAAGGCGGTTTTAAAAGCCTGCACACTGGACGTCTCTGAAATGAATCAAGTGTAACATTTATCCAATAAAGCAGGGGTGTCAAACGTACAGCCCGCGGGCCGGATCAGGCCCGCAAATGGGTTTGATCCGGCCCGTGAGATGATTTTGTAAAGTATAAAAATGAGCAGCAATTTTTCAATAAAGAAACTGCTGTTCCAATTGTGTCCATTGGATGGCGCAATAGCAATTGTGAGGTACTTTGTTTTAACCTGATGTGCAATATGTCTCTGTCAAAAAAGAGAAAAGTGGATGCGGAGTGCAGAGTGTTCCAAGAAAAATGGTCATCCTCCTATTTATTCACGGAAGTGAATGGGAAAGCTGTATGTTTGGTGTGTTCCCAGCATGCTGCAGTGCTGAAAGAATATAACCTCTGTCGCCACTATGTGAGTCTTCATGCCGACAAATATGACAACTTTCAAGGACAGCGGAGAAGAGAGAAGGTGAATGAGCTGTTGGCGGGTCTGAAGAAACAGCAGTTTGTATTTACTCACAGCCGAGAGATCAGTGATGCTGCAGTGAAAGCTAGCTACCTCATTGCTAACGAAATTGCACTAGCTTCAAAACCATTTAGTGAGGGTGAATTTGTAAAAACATGTATGATGAAGGCATTAGAGATTGTGTGCCCTGAAAAGCGCCAGGCCTTTGCAAATATCAGCCTGACAAGAAACACAGTTGCCGACAGGATTTCTGATCTTTCAGCGGATTTGGACAGTCAGTTGAAGTCAATTATTGTGTTTTCAGTTGCAATTGATGAAGGCACGGACATTACAGATGTTGTACAACTGGCAATTTTCATCCGCGGAGTTGATGACACATTGACCGTCACCAAGGAGTTCGTGGAGTTGGTACCAATGACAGATACAACGACTGCAGCTGATATTTTCACCGCACTCAACGGCGCGCTGGACAGGGTCGCAGTGTACTGGTCCCGCGCTGTCAGCCTGGCTACAGATGGTGCGCCCTCAATGATCGGGAAGAAAGCAGCCGTTGTAAAAAAGTTCAGAGATAAAGTGCAATCTGCAAATGGAGGACGTGATTTTCGGACTTTTCACTGTATTTTGCACCAGGAGGCTTTGTGTTGCAAGTCACTGAAAATGGATAACGTCATGAAGGTGGTCATCCAAACTATTAATTTCATCCGATCCAGAAGCCTCAATCACCGTCAGTTTGACAGTCTTCTCAGAGAGAAAGACCACATCTATGGCCTGCCATACCACACTGAGGTAAGATGGTTAAGCCGAGGTGCTGAGGCGTTTCTTTGATTTACGAGAAGAAATTGAACAGTTTATGGAAGAAAAGGGCAAACCAGTGTTAGAATTTCATTCCACAGAATGGATGCAGGACTTTGCATTTATGATGGATGTTACAGAGCACCTGAATAACTTGAACAAACAGCTGCAAGGA